CAATACTTTTCGCATTATTTCTTTTAAATTTGACTTTTCTGTTACAACAATATGTGATTGACACTTATTGTGTACAATTTTTATAAAAAAACTTTTCGTTTTCGCCATATCGAAGATAGATTTGATTTTTGAAATAATTAATGGATTTCTCTGTAAATAAAATGTAATTTAAATTATCTTCCTGCGCACTGTGAACCGTTCCGTCCGTGGACCATGTCACTAATTGTTCTTCACTATTATTGTTTTGAATAGTTTCGTTATTAAATACTATTGCTGTTTTGCAATCCCCATTCTGTACGTATCTGCTTAAGCTATCCGCTTCCGTGTTGTCTTTACCTTTTATATAAGTTATGTCAAAATCGTACTCGTAAAGAAGAATTTTCCATCTTTGTAACTTCATATTAGGCTCTTTGAGATTGTTTAACTACGTCAAAGGTTTGTGATCGGTTTGAATTGTAAACTTGCGACCGTATAGATAGGTTCGAAAATGTTTTACAGACCACACAACAGCAAGCATTTCATTTTCTATAGTCGAATAGCGTATCTCATGGTCTGATAAAGTACGTGATGCAAAGGAAATTGGATGGCCGCTTTGGCTAAGAACAGACCCGATGGCAAACTGGGATGCATCGGTTGTTAATGTAAGTTTTTTATTAAAATCCGGTGGTTGCAAAACTGGTTCACTTGTAACTAACTTCTTCAATGTTTCGAAAGAGTTTAAAAATTCACTGTCTTTAGTGTCAACAACGCTATCCTTTTTTAAATATCGAACCAATGGATAGGCAACCTTTGCATAATCACGTATAAATTTCCGATAATACCCTGTGATACCCAAGAATTGTTTAATTTCTTTCGCTTTGGATGGTGGTGGTATCGCTGCGATTGCTATAATTTTTGATGTATCCGGTCTGATGCCGTCAACTGAAACAACATGGCCTAAAAATTTCGTTGTAAATGCTATAAAGTGACACTTTTTGCCTTGAATTCTCAAATTTGATTCTCTTAGTTTCTTAAAAATTTTCGCTATGTAGTCAATATGTTCTGTAAAGCTAGTAGAAAAAATTAGAATATCGTCCAAGTAAACGACACAAATTTTATTGACATAATCTCGTAAAACATGATTTATTAGTCTTTGGAAAGTCGCAGGAGCTGTTTTTAGCCCAAAGGGCATACGATTAAACTCGTAGTGGCCACTTGCTGTCGAAAATGCCGTCTTGGATCTATCGTCTGGATGTACTTCGATCTGGTGGAAGATAGCTACACTTTCCCAATTTGTCGAATATGTCTTGCATATTCGGAATTGGAAACTTGTCGTCCATCATTAGTTCGTTTAGCTTCCTGTAGTCTATTACAATTCGCCACTTTTGTTCGCCACCGTTGTCGATTTTCTTTGGTACGACCCATAGAGACGAACTATAAGGACTGTTGCTCGGAACAATTATTTTCTGCACTAACATCTCCTTTATTTGTCTGTCTACTTCGGCATGATGCACAACCGGGTACCTATAATGTTTTGTATAAATTGGCGAATCGGTCTTAGTTCTAATCCTATGTTGTATAATACTAGTAAACGGTAGATTGCTTCCTTCCTCGTAAAATATGTCTCGGTAATTGTTCAGCAACTTTTTTAATGTCGATTCGTCCCTTCAATTTAAATGTTTTGCAAATGTGCTAYTAAGTGCACTGTCGCGTACTTTGTTTTGGCAACTAAATACTTRCAAATTTTCATTTTAAATACTTTTCTACTTCGTACTCTTCACCTTCACAAAAATAAATCGGTAGGGTCGCATTTTCTGTAACAAGCTTCCGAGTTTTATAATTGACTATGCAGTTTAGGTTAAGCAATATATTGTTTCCCAATATACCATCGAAGTAATCGTGAAATGGTAGTTCAATAAAATCGACAAACTGATTTTCTTTCCGAAATTCTTTAAAAAGTGGTACGCTATACCGTATGTTTGTTGAGGCATTTCCATTTAGGAGTTTAATATTGAAGGTGGGCGACATTGTTCTCCATTTCGGATTGCAAAGCTTTGGGTTTATTATGCTAAATTCAGCGCCAGTATCAATAATAAATTTTAATTTTTTCACCTTTGTATTTATGACTATATAGGGTAATTTCCTTGAGCGCCAAATTGAAAATTCTGATTGCTTTCATTCATGCCTATATCCATTGGCTCAAGTGCATGTTCGTTATGAGAAGGATTGTGATATTGGTTATTATGAAGATGTTAGTTACGTCCAGTTAAATGATTGTATTGTGTACTATGGTTTGCTTGTTGGTTGTGACTTTGTGTTCTGTGTGACTGGTAGCTAATGTTGTGCGTTTGTCTCGATTGTGTAGAAAAATTTGGCTATAGAGTGTTATAACTGTGTTGTTGTCTATGTTGATTTTGGAATCTTCCGTTATTATTGTTGTACCTTCCCGTATTTCTGTAATTTAATGTCGGTTCGAAATTTCCTCCATTTCTATTGTAATTTTGTTGCAGTCTACTACTGAAATTATTGGAATTCGAGGCTTTATAACTTAAATAGCCGTTTGATTTTATGATTTCAAAAGCATTCTTTAGACTTGTTGGGTCTCGGTAACCCGTATTTAAAATAATTTGGGGCAATTCTGGCATTGCTTTCGCTGTTAACTTCAGGGGATCTGTTTTCACTGAAATAAACCGCATTGTTCAACAGACATAATTTGTTGCTAATTTATTTTAGAAGTTCTCAATTGAAGAATCACATCGACATGCTCTAA